GCTCGCTTCCACGCGGGGAGGGGAGGCCCCGCGCGCAGGACCCGGCCCACGACCCTTGGTCCTTTTAACCCCGTCAGCCTGGCCGGTAGGGAGCCTCGCTAACAGGACGAGGGGAAGGGAGCGAGTAGATGGGCAGGAACTGGAAAAAATAAAATACATAAAAATAATCCAGTCCTTCAGGAGTAAAATAACAAATCAAGGGGAAGTGAACTGCGGAAGACTTCGGAAGGCATTTGAAATGTTGTGGCCAAGCCAAAGGTAGTTACGTGAAGCCCAAATCTAGATGCTGGGTATTTCCATCAGTTACAGACCAGACTGGCAGAAATAGGCACCGTGAGTTCTCTCCTCAGGACACCAAATACGGCCTGGGCCAAAACGTGAAAATGCTCTTTGGTCATCAGGAGTGCGAGTAAAAAGTAGCCAGAGGGTAAGTTCTAGGCCCTGACCTCAAGGAGGAACTGGCAGAGGATCAGAAATAACTTCATCTCCCCACTGGACTCTCCAGTCGGAAAATAAGACCAAGGAGAGGGTACTGAGTGGAACTTAAAAGAAATCAAAGTGTGTATTTAGATTAAGGATGGCCTTGTTTCCCAAGAACTGAAGTGATGGAATTAAACAGGGCACACCTAAAACCTAGTGGTGGTTTACCTGTCACTAAGTATCGCCTTATAAGGTGGAGAGGAGCCAGGAGTGCTTTCCCCAGGAAGCGCAAGCTCAAGCTGAAGTTAAAGCAGTCCAAGACAAGTTCAGGCGGTCAGAGAGCCACCCCGACCAAAGGCTGTCCCATCTCCTTGGGTTACTGTCAGAACTGGAGACTGAATGGGCCAGGAGAGCCCTCATAACACCACTTGCCTCAAAACCCATCTTATGATGATCATGCTGAGATAAGTGAAGGGGTTCCTGTAGACATTAAACCCTCAACACTTCCCTCCACCAAGAGGTGCCCTAAGACCCATTAAAGGTTTGGGGAGCATACGGATCTCCAGGCTCTTTGCTCGCAGGCCAGTCAGAACAGAGCACCCGATGGCTGCCACTGTGGCCCTGCGAGGACTGAGCTCAGACCTGCAACTCTGAGGACTTAATACCATTGAAAACCAGACCCCCCAGTTAGCCGGTAGGAATGAATACACTAATATCACAAATATTTGTATCCACAAATGTTTATTGAGTGCCTGTATGCAGGAATGAAGGAGATGGTCCCTGCTCTCATGGAGCTTACAAGTTCATTACTCCACTATCTGACCAGATTTAAAAACTGCAACGAGCACTGGTCTCTGTCAGCAGCACTATAGGAAGCAAATCTCTCACGTCATATTGGTCACTGTTACAGTGAAACTGTGAGTAAAACATTATTTCTGAAATCTGTACTCACAGCGATGTGGCATATAATGTCCAGCAAATGCAGATTTATGGCTTGATTCCTCCCATTTGGGAGGGGGGCCTACTGAAATAAAACACAAATCAGAAGGGGGAAGCTTAGCAACACAGGTCTGAAGAACACTGGTGTAGTTAATACATTATCAAACTGCCGCAGAACTCTTGGCAAGGCAGGAAATTATTTCCTGCAAAATTTGTGCAACATTAATTGGTTTAATCAGACCTACAAATCTCATAACCATTCACAATCACTCATGATGGGTATAAATACAATTTACCTTTATGATTCCTAAAGGGCTCTAGGTACACATTTATTTTTTAAAGCTTCTTAAAGACTCACAGCACACGTGGCACATTAAAATTTAGTGAAAACTGCTTTTGAGAAATCTAAAAACTAAAATGACAAAAATGTCTAATTTTTCTACGTATGTAAGTGCAGAGTTCAGAATTCAAATAGCGTTCAGCAAAGCACCTGGCTTTTCTGAGTTAAAAAGGGGACCACATTTTGGTTGCTTATCAAACTCCAAAAGCAAATCATAATCTTCAGATACATCTTCAAACGCCCACTGGCTGCCACTTCCTTCATGTGGTCCTGCTTCACAGGCCAGCACCTTTACAAGTCTAACTATGGAACATTCAGAGGAGCAATTATTTTGATTACACTGGCAATGCATTTTTATTTAAGATCAAAGGGCTTCTGAACTTACACTCGAGTTATCAATTTATTAGCCATTAAAAAGAAAAACAAGAAAAACCAGAGGGAAGCTCATTTAACCTCCAAGAAAGCTCATTTTTTTGCAAAAAGGTGAAGAGAAAGAACATCTTAGACCATCTCACAATGTCAACCAACTCAAAACAGGTTTTAATCGCTGGGGACACAATCTACCTTTCTATCTAAAAAAATAGTGAAATCGCTACTTCAAAGCCTACTTAACTCAGAATGAATCTGAAATGTGTTATTTATTGAAAACTTACTAAACACCCAGGCACTTTAATCTCCCGTAGTGGAAGGAAGCTTCTTACCATCTCATCTCATTTTCACCGTGGAGAAAGGCAGGTCTGGGCAGGGTGTGACCCAGGTCTGTCTGTCTGTCCCCTGCCCAGCTGCTGCAGTCCCAGCACTGCCTCAAGAGCTACGTCTACTCCAGGCTCTCAAAGGACAGAGGATGCTCCCCCCACCTCAGGAGGCTTTTCAGGGAAAGGAAGGGGGTAGATCCAGATGAAAGAAGAGCAGTAACTCTACCTGCACTTTAAAAGGCACTTCCCAGAAGTGGAAGATCCACTTAAGTTTTTTACTAACTGCAGCTCAGCCCCAGCCAGCAACGAAAGCAGTTTATAGCTGCTTTTTAAGACGGCCATCTTTCCAGCCTTCAGGCTGTTTTGAAATGGAGTGTTGGATGTTAGGCAGTACCAAAGGGAAAGAGGGCGGGAAGGGTTTTCCTTGGTTTCCCTCTGCACAGCTAGGAAGAGAAAAAAATTAATTTTTAAATAAATGATACTTCCAATCTATTACACACTTTACAAATCAAAGCACACACTTTCTGAGAGGCACAGAAGACAGTTTTGATGGGGCTTAATACCTTTCTTGGAATAAGACTAAGAAGATAACTCCTTGACAAGATAAAACTCTAATCTCTTCTGAAACAGCACTTTCCCATTCTTAAGAACATCATAGATTTTGCAATAAAAGTAGGGAACAATGAAATACCCTAACAATTTACAAGCTCGTTTTTAATATCACGTCTAGGAGCACATTAAAGGGAACATCGTTGGTAAAGTCAATCTCTTATTAAGTCTTGACACAAGCTATACTGGTGCTTGATGAAAATGAACTTTACTATAACTAGGAGATTAAAAAGAAAAACAGGCTGGAAAAAAATACCAAGAATAAAGGCACTTATCTGCTGATGCGTAGTTTCGATTAGCTGGAGGTCTCTCACTGGTTGCAGGGGTTGGGAGCAAAGGCTGGATTCACAGATAGGAGCGGGAAGAGAGGCAGCTGTCAGATGGCCCCTTGCTGAGAAGGGGGCACAGGCACCAGGCCTGGGGCCCAGCCAGGCGAGGCTTTGGTGACGGGTGCTCAGAGATCACTGGAGATCCCTGCGTGAAGGCATACGTATATCCTAGCGGAGTAACGGTTGGCTTGGCTCATTGTAAAACTACACGCTATTAAGAGCCACACAAGGAGAAAAAGCTCAAAAGTAAATCAAATTTTAAAACCTGAGCATTTTCAGTGGGAATCAGTGTTGACAGCTGGAATCAACGTGGAAAGTCTGATCAACACATACTGAGCCTGAATATGTGGGCACTGGCTTCTGACCGGCCACCAAAAAGTGGCCAGTTAAGCAGCCTGAACTTGACCAGCAGCCAGGACACCCCTGCTAGTGCTCCTGCTCAGAGCACAGCCTTCTGCCCTCAGGCTGCTTCCAAGAGCCAGGAGGCGCTGCCAAGGCAGCGGGCTGGAGCCCTCCTGCAAGGCCAAGCTAAGGGCACCGAGCTCCCTCTAGACATGTTCCCTGTCCAGTAACTGGAAGAGTAGGTGGCGCTGATCTCAGCCTGCGGTTCTTACAGCAGCTACTATGGGAGTGTTCCTTTTTCTTTTTGGCAGGGGTGGAGAAGCGTTAAAAATGTCTTCATAGTGACTCTGACAGCTGAGGCCGCGTACGCTGGGGAAAACAGGGCTGCTCTTACAGCCTCACTGGCCTGGATCTCGCCAAAGCTTCATCAATTCATTGTCAAGGGTGGCACACAAGCTACATTCAGAATGATGGGCAGAAAGCTACAGTTCTCCAATTGTTTAACTTTTTCTGAAAAGTTCTAACATATATGACAAAATTAGAGCATTCATACCTCTCATTTTTCTTTCCTTACAAATAATAAAGTATAAAGGAAACAAAGTGAGATATTCACATACTTTCAAAGCTTTCCGGTATTCCATTATTTCCCATCTTTCCATGATTACTATGCTAATATCCACTGTAAGACACGTTTTAAACAGGAATTACATTACCATTTTTTAAAAAACTTCAACACAACTAAACCCTGGGTATGCTGTAACTTTTTTTTTGCATTCAGCATGTATTAATCTATCATTATAGAAGCTGTTCTCAAGCATTTATTTAAAAAAAAGAATCATATTCACAATGTAGAACAAGTTTATAAAACTGGTGTGCAAAGTTATTCATAAAAGGATAACACTATTTGTTTAGAAACAGGCTGCCTCCCCTGTTTACGTTTCCTTATTTTTGATATAAATTGGAGACATACACTATTTAAAAATAATACTTTTTAAATAGTAAAATATACAAGAGATTCCTGAGCGTAACAAAAATAGCTTGAAAATATGTGGCCATTTGAAGTATAAAACAGCAAGTGTAAAGAAGAGCATGATTGTAAAACTACCGTTTGAAGGCTTATAAACAGTACAAAATAGTTTGCCTTTTCTGAGTGCATAATTATACATTAGTGCAAACAAAAATGTCTCAAAATTTAATGGCTACAAATCTCAAAGATTTGCAGAAGTGCGCAAAACATGAAATTTCTTTAATGTCATGCGAACTGAACCCAGCTCTCGATTAATCTTTTCCAAACGATCTTCCAAGGCTTCCTAGGTAAAAATAATGGAAAAAGCTTAATTAGAATTCTACATCAAGTTCACTGATTTTGTAATTACCACCAAAACGACCTTTCTTTTAGCAAAAGAGCAAGTATAAACATCCCAATTACAGTTATTGTCATTTTTACATAAATCATCATTTATATTACTTCTTTTAAACTAAATATGAATCAACTTTCCAACCACTCAAGGTAACTGCTTTTTTGTTTTTAATGGAGGTGCTGGGGACTGAACCCAGGACCTTGTGCGTGCTAAGCATGCACTCTACCACTGAGCTGTACCCTCCCCCAAGGTAACTGCTGATCATTAAATTTTCTCAATCTGTTTGGTATCTTCAGTATGTGGAAATTCTAGCAATAGCAACACGATTCCCTGGAGAGAATTCTCTGACTTTGCTGAGAACAGCACAAGAGGAACCCAGCAGGTTCTACACACATTTCGCCAGAAGAAACGGGCACTGGTGCCATACCCCACTTACAAGCGTATCAAGTAACTTCTGACAAACATTTGTAAGTTAACAAGGAGGAAAAACACTGGAGGACACTTTTCCAAGAAACAAGATTTCACAAGTGAGTGACAACTGCTATTTTTAAATAAATAAGTAGTACTACAGTTAAATACCTGGAACACACATGTATCATTTTAGATACTTTATTCAGTGTGAACTCCAGTGGTGTCCTGAAATAAAACTTAAAATTTTCTCTTCAACTACTTTAATTATGAAAGAATTACATATTCATTTTAGAATATTTAGAAGACAGATGAGCAAAAAGTAACAAATAACGACTTTTCCTCTTTCCTGTTTTCTCTGCAGATATGAACACCATTTTTAAGAAAAATAAAATAGAATCAAGTTCTACTTCAGAATGTTTTACAATTTAATTTTCCCTGTTCTGAAATATCCTTTATGACATTTTAAATTAATGTGCTATATTCCAACAGATGTACCATATTTAATCAAGATTCTCCTAGAAGAAATTTAGGTTTCCTCTCTATTTCAGACATCACAAATAATGCGGCAATAAATATTCTTAAATATATCTCTGCATATAACTATAAATACTGTCTTAGGGAATCATTCCCAGAAGTAAAAATGTCCAAAGAAATGTAAAATTTTAAAGCTCTGGATACATGTCAAGCTGAAATCCAGAAAGTCTGTAACAGTTTCTCCTTCCACCTGCACTGCAGGGGAGTAAGCTGCTCCCCATCCCAGGTACACTTTTTTTTTTTTAAATACCTAACAATGTCATATTTAAAAATGACGCTTTTGTATAATGTGTTTTGTTTTTTATTCGCTGGTGAAGCTGAGCACTTTGCATCTTTTTTTTCGCCCAATTCCACCTTTTTCACTTATGAATTGTTTATAAGCATCCTCAGGCCTTTTTTGCTGCCACTTGTCTTCTTACTGGATTGAAACAACTTTGACAAATATGAACAAAAGCTAGGGCCCTTTAAGTCTTATTTTAAGAGCTTAAAATCACTATGTAAGAGTATATTAAATAGATGTTTCGGACACATTTAGAATTAGAGTATCAACAAGTTTTCCATCCGCCTTCCCAGTAAACTATTTTAAAATGAGCTTCACGTGTTGAATTTTACAAATTACTGAAGAAAAACTTTCAAAACAACAAAAACAACAAAAGGACTTAAAAATCAGAAAAAAAAGACAAGTTAGGGATACAGGCCCTAGAAAAAGACCTCTGCTATTTTCTGAGTCCCTTTTTTCCTTCTGGTATCACCAGTCAATCTGAAAATTAACTTTTCCTGATGCTAAGGCACTGAAAAGCCAAAACATGCAGTTATATAAGAGACATATCCTTGCTCTTATGTTTAAAATGTTACAAAAAGAGCAGATTTTAAATGTCCCATGGTTTCATGCATTTTAATTCTCTTTGAAAAGCAACTGAAAGGAATGCACGCGGGCCACTCGCCTGCACCGCCTCCTGCTCAATAATGCAATCACACTCCTCGTTTTACCCTCATGCCTGTTCCAGCTGTAATGTGCAACTGTTTCACAAGTTTACTACATGGAAAGGGGTTCAGAAATAAGTGAAAGATTAGGGAGGAAAAAACAAACACAAAAAGGGAGACAATGTGACAGCATTAACTTAATATAAAAATCTGTTAAAAGCCATATTGCCATTTGCTCGCAAGTTAGTTTCTCGAGAACTTAATGGCATTGAACACCTTTTTCTTGGAAGTATAAAGATAAAATCACTTCTTATTCCTGAAGGTGAGTACACAGTTATCAAATATGCTATAGTCACCAAACACGTCTTGTAAAGTCTACAAGTCTTGCTTCAGTGTACCTAAAGGAGCTGGGATATTTCAAAATCGTGTGGATAAACGAAGCACCGACTAGCACCAAGCCTCCAAAGCAGATTCAAGCTAAGACACTTCACCTGATTTAACCTTGTCTGCAAAGTGATTCGTCCTCCAGCAGAAGGCATTCGACTTAGTGCTGCCTCAATCTGTTAACACACAAAAAAATGTTTAAATAAAAACAGAAGAAGAATTCTAATTACTGGCAGGGAGGTTTATAACAGAATGGAAAGAAAAGACTTCAGCCTAACATTTTCCTGTCCATCTCGTCTTCACCTAAGTTCCCTCTGTCACAATTGTAACGACAGCTCGGCTCAAACACGTTTTCCCTGATGCTCTGCGTGGCGGCCACATAACTTCCTGGGATGGGTCTGACTCAGTAACTCCCTTCTGACTATTCCTCAGACATAAGCATTAAGTTCAGAAAAAGATTTAAAACATTGTTTTTTGTTTGTTTTTACCTGGTCTTTTTCTTTTGTAAGTTCATCAAAAAACCGTTCCGTTTCAGCTAGGGTCCTAATTTTGGCTGTATACTCAAAATCATTACCCTGTGGGGCTACTGAAGCAGGCTTACACTGTTCATAGCTAACTGACTTATTCTTCTCCCAGGCCGACCTCACAGAGACGTTCTTCACTCCGCTTGGCAACGGTTCAGGGGAAGAGCTATGATTAACGTGGATGTCAGTGGCTTTTCCTGAATACTTTTTTTCTGTCAGAGAGAAAAGAAATTTCTTTTACTTCTTACCAGTTTTTCTAACACAGTATATACATACCAAAATGTTACCCAACTTCATTTTCTGGAAGTGCCTGCTACACAGCCAAAAATGTAATGAAAAGAGATACAGAATCAATCTTGTTTACTCAGTTTTTTTCCTCCACAGAATTCTAAAAGCTTTGCCCTCAGTTTGACAATCTTCACAACTTCCCTAAATGAATATATGCAAACTTTCTGTAAACTTGAAGCAAAAAAAAAAAAAGTTGAAAACCTAAACAACACACTTAGTGGACACATATCAACATTACAGAGTTAACATTTTAAGGGCCTACGCAAGTGATTTCACATACATTATCTTATAACTATATTCCAAACTTAAAATATGAGAAAAAGAAAAAATTACTCAAAGCCTAAGTGGCATATATATTACAGAATATAAAAGTAAAGAAAAACTGAACAGTACGGCCCTGGTAATTAAACATTAACGTTCCCTGTACTTCAGTTTCCCAACCTTGCCGTGAGGATACAGCATTGACACACCATGAGTGTCACAAATACTTATTTTTAGAGGCCCCTGGGTAAAAAACGATTTAAGCGCAGGATATAACAACATTTAGAGCCTTGGAAAGATATCAGAAACTCTCAAAATGAATGACTAAAACCATAACTAATAATTTTTTAGGAGAAGATACCTTCCGAGTCATCTAGAGGAAGAAACTGGAGTTGCTTTCTTGGATTGGTACGTTGTAATGTAGACACAGGAACAGTATCTAAATCATCCAAAAGTATATCAAATCTATTGAATGAAGCAAGTTATTTGTGAGAAAAAAATGTTAACTGATTTTCCCTATCTCCACTAGAAAGATGAGCTGGCTGGCATCCGGCTAACTCACATATTTAGATATTTTTTAAAGAGAGAGCTGATCATATAATTTTTTAAAATTGAGATTTAAAATTTTCTAACACAAAATTATATTAACACAATAGTGACTTAAAGCGCTTACCCACACATTACGTCATTTGATCTTTACAACAACCGTATAAAATAAGAAGGCAGGCATTATTAACCCCATTTTATAGAAGAGAAAACTGAGGTTCAATGTGTTTAAGAAATTTCCCCAAGAGCCTGATGGACTGAGTCACCAGCACTTATGTCTTAGGGGGTCAGTGGTCGTCCCACCACAGCACACACACACTGCTGACCACACTTCCTCTAGAGAGCAATTTTCTCAGAAGCACAGGCCAACTTACATTCAGTCCCAGGGCCGTAACAGGACAGCCCACTTTCTTGTACAAGTGGCTCAAAATTTTCCCTGTATCCTAAACCTTTTCAGGAAAACAAAGAATTATCATTCTGCACCCAAAGACTGGAAGGGGTTCTGAGGCGGTATTTAAATTTTGCAGTAGCCAGTTTACATAAGTTAAAACCTGTTCTCATGTATTACAGTGCTTGTATATTATCAGTGTGTTTATTTAAATAATTTAAATCCACAAAGTTCCCACTGACAACTGAAAACTTAGTGATAGCTAGAGGCGTAAGTTGACATTTTTAAAAAGTCAATAATACATATATTTTATTCTACAATTTTACAGAACTTACCGAATCGGACTGCTTTCATTTTTGCTAAGTAGATGACTAAATCCTGGGGACAAATTTTCTTTAGGGGATCGCTTTGGACTATAAGCCACAGTCACTGGTGTTAACATAATCTCTCTTTTTGCTACAGAGGAAAATGAAGAGGAAATAGTCATTTCCTTCTGTATATATTATATTGGCAGAACAATTCCTTTTTCAGTACTTTTTTTCTAACTTTAAAAGGAATACATTTTCATTATAAAACCGTGTGAAAGGTGAGTATAGAAAATAAAAATGATTCATGATCCTAACATCTAGAGGGAAACACTGTCAACATTTTAATACATTAGACCGTAGTTTCAGCACTGACTCAAAACTGGTTTTTCAGGATTTTAGAGTCGACTGGAAATAAGATGGAAACACCAGTGCACTAGAGAACATTCCTAATAACACAGGCATACACGAGTCTCCTCAGCTGTTATGAAAATGGAAATCAAGAAATCCAGTGCTTAACTTTAGAATCATACGTGTAATTGGCTAAAGAAAACGGTGACTAATGCTGAATGATCTTAGGTAAACATATTTTTAAAAAGTCTTTTTTCAGACTAGCTTAATTTGTTTGAATTAATGTTTAGTAAGATAGCTGTCTACTATCACAAATTGTGAAGTGGTATTATTTACAAAATATTTGCTAGACACACAACTAAAAAAATCTAATTTTGATGAATAGTGAGCATTTCTTCAGTTGTACTGTTACTGAACAAGGCCATATTTGGGGGTCCTGTCTCAGAGCCCTCCACTAGGTTAGTAAGAGCGTATGGGAAACAGGAAACGTCAAACAGCGTGTACGGCTCAGATGTCACTCTCCTGAGCCCAAGAGACATAGATAGATCTCTAACTCTTACTTGGAGTACTTGATTTACGATTTGAAGGTGGTAAAGATGACGATCTCTGTGAAGCAGAATTAAATCTCTTTTGTCTTTGTTGGGCACCTTTCTCTGGGGACCGACTTGCATTGACTGAACTGTCAGTTTGCCGAGGATTCACTAATTCTGTAACAGACAAATGTAAAAAACACACATATACATCACACAAAACAAACGCAGCTTCGGTTACCTGCCTTTATTAACAGATGGTTGCACCAAGCAAGCAATTCTTCTCACTATCTGGGTTATAATGATTATTTGCAAATGCAATACATTACAATGATAAACGCTTGATGAAAAAAAAGTGAGCATTTATAA